GTTGAACATCATTACTTCAAACTTTCACTTCAATTCTTATATAATTGCAAACTATTACTAAATAAGTTTAGTTAATCTAATAATTACTTAATTAATAAAGACAACTTCATACATAAATTAAAACCATACAAATCAATATTTGTACATATGGCATTTTCTATTTTTTACGTCTCTCTTCAATTCGTTCACTACATCAAATTAAGACACCTTCGCATTTTTCTTTCATCGTCTTTTTCTTTTCAATTTCTATACTAAATTTTTTAATTTTTTCTTCCCTCTCAACGAGTCGTTTGTTACGCCACTTCGGTAAATCTTCATATTTCTTCTTCTCTTCCATTTTCATCTTCTTATTATTACGTTGTTCAACTATGTACTTTATTGCCTCTTTTTCCCACTCTTCATTTGAAGAAGAGCTTGAATCCGAATCGTCGATTTTCGAGTCGGTGTTGTCAAACCCATAAACTCCGTTCGCCAATTCATACCCAAAATTTTCCCACGACCACATTATTTGATAATCTCAATTTTTTTTCTCACTTCTAATACATCGAAACCTTCACCCTAAACCCCTATTTATACTAAAATCATTTCCTAAAATAGTCGTTAGAACTCGTCACACCGACGTGAAGAGTTCCATTGAATTTAAAAAAAATTGATCATTCGCCAATGGTCACCCCAACAGTCAAAAAATCAAATTTTTACCCATTGGAACTCGTCACACCAGCGTGACGAGTTTCCAAACCATTAAAATTATATATATATATATTAACAATATTTTTTAAATTTCTAAAAAATATATTTTTTATTCAGACTTGTCACTCAGGCATAACGAGACCTTGAATATATATTAAATATATTCTGTCTGTGAGACTCACATCTCATTAAAAAATTATATCCCAACGTGATGAATTTCAGCTCCACTGTAATTTTTACCGTAAAACCCAAAATAAAAACCAGAATACTCTATTGGGCTAAATAATTGGGCCACGTGCATTATCCCACTAATTTCCCTTGAGGTCGTGGGATCAAGTCCCACGGAGGGCATTTCATAATTTGGAGGTCTCCTACGGAAGCTGCTCTCAACCTGGTGTTGGGGGCAGCCTACTATCTTACCTCCCCCTTACCTCATACATATGGGAAAAAAGGGACAGCCATTTTTTTTTTCTATCTATTATTATTATCACACAAAAAAAAAAGGCAAGCACGACGTCGTTGTCAAGTATGCAACTTGTTCGGTATCTGCTTCCAAATTCCAACCACTTATTATAACCCACGTGTAGCTTATGCCCCTTCTTTTGTCCCTCTGCCGTTTGACAGTTGACACCAACTTTCAGTCTCCATTTCAGTAAAATGACCTCTTGCCTTTGCTATCAGCCATGCGGCTATGCCACAAACTCAAATTCGAGAGGAAAAAAAAATGGAAAATCATTGGGATTCTCCCATTCTAATCGCCCCCACATATATTTTTTGAGATCGACGTTCCTCAACCTCTAAAACCATATATTATATCATAAACAGAATCCCAAACATATGTTGTATATATAGATTTGTGTTCTCTTTATGGGATTTGGCTTGGGAAAATGGATCGTTACGAGGTACTGAAAGATATCGGTTCAGGGAACTTTGGTGTTGCAAAGCTGGTTAGGGAGAAGTGGAGTGGCGAGCTTTATGCTGTCAAGTGTATTGAAAGAGGACCCAATGTGTTTGCTTTTATTATTCATAGACTTCTCTGGTTTTTTTTCTTCTTTCTTTTGGATTTAGTTTTATTGGGGTTTGCTTGGTTATGCAGCTTGATGAACATGTTCAAAGGGAGATTATGAACCACAGGTCTTTGAAGCATCCAAATATAATTAGATTCAAAGAGGTAAATGCTTATATTTGAATGAATGAATTTCCAGGGAAACCCAGAGTTTCTTTGAACTTAACAGGCTTTAAAATGGTTCATCTTTTGTTCTGCTTTGGTCAGTTTCTTCCTTATTTTTGACTTGCAGGTGTTGTTCACACCAACTCATCTTGCCATAGTCATGGAGTATGCTGCTGGTGGAGAACTTTTTCAAAGGATTTGCAATGCTGGTAGATTTAGTGAGGATGAGGTGTGTGTATATATATATAGATAGATATTTCATTTTTATAATTGAATTTCATTGATCATTTCATTTTCATTTAAGAACTGCGCTTACTTTACTGCTTCAGGCAAGATTTATTTTCCCTGTTTATTTAGCAAATTTGTCATAGAGATCTTAAGCTGGAGAACACACTATTAGATGGGAGCACTTCCCCAGGCTCAAAATATGCGACTTTGGCTACTCTAAGGTCAGAATCAATCTGTTTTACTTTCGAAATAAAGTTAAATTACTCTGATTCGGATGCACATGTCATATACGAATACATGTTCTATAAGAATCATATACATATGTCTGCAAAAGGTGTTCGACAGTCGACACATAAAACAAAGAATCCAAGCAACATAGCTATAAAGCCAAATTATTAACTTTCTACTGCATGTTTCAGTCAAGTGAGTTTCATTCCCAACCCAAATCAACAGTAGGAACCCCGGCCTTATTGCACCAGAGGTCTTATCTAGGAAAGAATATGACGGGAAGGTAAATTCATTTTCTTATTAAGTTTTTCACATTCAACTCGAGTCGAGTCGGGTCGGACCTTGAAACATGGAAAGAAAGCTTAGAAACCTGCTGGAAATTTTTAGATTGCAGATGTTTGGTCTTGTGGGGTTACTTTGTATGTCATGTTGGTTGGGGCTTATCCTTTTGAAGATCCTGAAGATCCAAAAAATTTCAGAAAAACAATTCAGGTTAGTTGATATCAGCAAGATCACTACAGAATGTAGTTATGATAGTTTACTATGTCTAAATTAAAAGCAGTAAAATAATAATTAACTGATAATTGGATTTGGCAGCGGATTCTGAGTGTCCATTATTCAATCCCTGATTACGTTCGGGTTTCCAAGGAGTGTAAACATCTACTTTCAAGGATCTTTGTAGCAGATCCCGAGAAGGTATTCGATACTTATCCGTATATTCACTTTTTCGATCACCGTTGTCTGCAGAGAATAACTATACCAGAAATTAAGCAGCATCCCTGGTTTCTAAAGAACTTGCCGATTGAGTTCATGGAAGGCGACGACATGGAAAACGGAAGCGAAAGTCGTGATGTATCGCAGAGCATTGAAGAAATATTGTGTATAATCGACGAAGCGAGGAAGGGCGGCGGAGGTCCCAAAGTCGGCAGTAGATTACTGGTGGGTAGCATGGATCTTGATGATGACGATGAACTTGATGGTGATGCTGACATTGATGATTTAGAAACGAGTGGTGATTTTGTATGTGCATTACGAGTGTGAGTTTAGAAAACAATGAAAAAATATGTCTGAAAACTTTGATCGTAATGGTAATATTAAGCTTTTACATTTAATAGAAATAGTGATGCGACTTGGTATAGTAATAATTTTAGTCTTCAAAACTTATATATTTTATTAATTTTGATCTAAATTTGAAAATTTTCAAAAATTTAACCATTTATAATTTTTTTTTATCAATTTAGTCCTTAAACATATCAACCTGCATAATCCCGGCCACCATGGAGGAGAAAGACCAAGAATTCTTCGGTAGTGATTGAGATGATGATTGGTGTGTTTAAAGAATAAATTGATAGCATGTATAGATTTAAAAAAATTAAAATAATTATTGTACAGATTACATCATAGTTTCCATCAAATAGTCAAAATTGTTCTATTGTCTAGTGACTAAAATAGGATGATAACCTAAGGTTAATGACTTAATTGATAATTTTTTCCAGTGGTTAGAATAGAGTCAATTTCATAATTTAATCACTAGAAAGATAATTTAATCAACATGTTTACATGTAGTGGCTGAGTAAGTGGATTAGTTTTGATAACAATTTTTTACTGTTGTGGTTCTTTTTTTGTGTGTATGTAGTATTTGAGATATTATATGTATTTGGATAAACTACACATTTAGTATTTAAATTATTAGTTTTAGTATATAAACTTTCATTTTTATCAAAATCATATATAATGTTTAGTTTTTGTTAAATTTTAGTATCCCACTGTTAAAAATTTAACGCGTTTCGTACTTAAACTATTAGTTTTTATCTGTTTTAATACCTAAACATTTTTAAAAAAATTCAAAACTTAACGTTAAATTTTGAACGGAATATTAAATGAAACAAAAACTACACTTTAGTTATGGTTCTGAAAAAATTGAAAGTTTAGGTATAAAAATAGATTGAATATGATAATTTAGATACTAAACATATAATTTACAAATATGATGTGAAATTCCATTGAGAAATTGCACGAGGAAATATTAGTGTGGCTGTCCACTTGGATTTCCATTTTTTTTATCAATAAATTTCCCATTTAAATAATATATCCTTTGTGTATTCCATAACTACTCGGCAGTTTTTTATTGTACAAAATGGTACATATTTTTAATATAAATTTGTGTAATGGCTTTAAGTGTGCGGCGAGGAGTTCCACTTTGTCGTTTCTCAATGTGTTTTGAGATAAGATCTCTATCAGTTAGAGTGAAGGATTGAACTCAATAGGCTACATAAAGACAAAAAATTAAGTGAAATATTTAATTTAGGTCACTTATCTTCGAATTATGTACACGTAGGGATATAGTCAGGATGGTAAACAAGGGTCATCGTCTTCTTGATTAAATGGAATAATCATTCTTTAGTCCCTCTCAGTTCTAAATAATTTAATTTAAACTTTTTCAATTCTAATCCTTATAAATGATTTTATCTTGATTAAATAAGGGTCTTATTAAAAATGCTCTTGAGTTGAATATATTACGTTGCAAAACTTCTGAAATCTTTTATCAAACCCATCCAAAGTATAAATGGATGGTTATTATGAAAATAATTATTTTTACTTCATTAACCGATAAAATAAAGTTCACCAGGACAAAGGGACCAGGAATATAATTTTCCCAACTCAAAACATGCAATTAAATTAGGCTGCTCCAAACTAAACTAATGCAATGTAAACATACAAACATACATATCACACTCCCAAAAATTGCTATTATGACTGCGAAAGCAACCGATATTACGAAAAAAATCCGATTCGATCATGACCTACAGCACATGTTACTCTTTGCCGGAATTACTTGTGCCGGACCTGGCATGACGATCTTCTCGCCTGCTAGCGACACGGGGTTGCCATTCTCCTTATCCTCGTTGGCAGCTAGGCTCTTCTTGTTCATGATGTTGAAGATCTCGGTAAGCACAGTTAAGAAGGCGGTCTCCACGTTAGACGATTCGAGAGCAGATGTTTCCAAGAAAAACAGTCCTTCCTTCTGAGCAAATTCTTTCGCATCATCCGTCTGAACTGCCCGTTGGTTTTCAAGGTCACTCTTGTTCCCGATCAGAATGATAACGATGTTCTTGTCAGCATGGCCACGCAACTCTTCAAGCCAACGTGGAATGTGATCGAAGGTCTGGCGTTTCGTTACATCATAAACCAGCATTGCCCCAACAGCACCCCTATAGTATGCACTTGTAACAGCTCTATATCTGATTCAGTAGAACACAAGAAAAGAAGCAAAATCACCAACTGTTGATAAGGTTTCAATAATAAATAGTATCGGTCGACATAGTTATAGATTTACGTATCCGTATCCGTATGCGAATATGATAAGGCAAAAGAACCACCAAAACAAAATAGCAATTGTTCTTAAGATTTGGATTCCAACAGGGTTAGCAATTACCATCTGGTTGAATGATTAAAAACTAACAAACTCAGGCAGTTGATCGACGTTGAACACAACTAAAGTGCACAAATTCAATATGGATGATACAGATCACACCCAGTTATCAACCTCGCATCCAAATTTTCAACTCGAGGCCAAAATTTATCGATAATGCTGCGATATCAAGAACCTAATCGAATACGATCTCTTGAATCAAACCGCTTCGTCTTACATAGAAAAAAATGACAACATCAAATATTAAGATCCAACTAAGGACCCGATTGTCATCTAAGCACCATGAAAATTCTATAAGTTCATCACTAAGTTAAAATCAATGAATATAGATCCAGAAACTATACAATTCACCCACCAAACATCCAATCTAAATCCAATCCTCCGATCGAATTCGAAAAATTTCCAACATCCAACTATCTACACAGCTAAACACGATCATACTAAACTAAACCATGTCTTGTCATTCCACATTGAATATTCTTTTTATGCAACCTTTATAGTTTTCATCTCCAAGCTACACGGATCTAAGTTAGAACAATAAAAAAAACATAACAGATGGGCGTAAAATGAAAAACCCAGAAATATTTCACCAAAAAGAAGATTATTTTAGGGGAAAAAAGGGTGAAGGTACCGTTCTTGACCAGCAGTGTCCCAGATCTGAGCTTTGACACTCTTGTGTTGAATAACAAGTGTTCTGGTCTGAAACTCAACGCCAATGGTAGCCTTGGAATCTAAACTGAACTCATTCCTGGCGAAGCGAGCAAGAATCTGAGACTTGCCCACTGCAGAATCACCGATCAAAACTACCTTGAAAACATAGTCTATCTTCTGGCTTGGATCACCATATCCTCCTCCACTAGCCATTTTCTCTCCAAAAAATAACTCCTTTTTAAGTCTTCTTTTCCCTTCAATAGCCTTCCCCCCCCCCCCCCTTGTGCAGATTGATTTGCTACTCCCCCTGAAATATAGCAGAGGTAGAGTCGGGAGGCAAATGGTAAAGTTATTTTTTTTATCATTTAAATATTCAAACGAAGCACTAACCGCGAACTCAGTAACTAAAGAGTCATTGTTATTCCTTAAAATGGTTCGTTATCTTTAAAAAAAACATTTTCTTTTATTTATCTTAAATTAATAAAAAAATATTTAAATAGTCACTAAATTCTATCAAATTAATCATAATAATTTTAAATAATAACATAGGTGCTTGTTGATAAGTTATTTATACCAAACGTTTTGTAGACTAATTTCCAAATTAACTCTCATTACAAATAAATTCAAGGACTAATGTGGTTTAGAAATATTTTAGGGACTCTTGTGGAAATAGCAGTCAGATTTAGGACTGAATCGTACTTTATCCTTTTAATTTTGATGTTATGTTTGTTGTCTATGTAGTTGGCGTATACATTTCGAATAGAAATTACCCACCACCAAACGTGGTTCAATGTTGAATAAATCGTGAGCGATGATTATGAGATGTTCAATATCTTTCCTTAAAGAATAAATATTGTCTCTTTAGTCACTGTTCTTTAACAACCGCCATCACTCGTGACTTGACTTCACTGCCCAAAGTTTTTTCATATTTTCAAGGCTCATCTTTTACCTTTTCACAACCGCATGCACAACTCATCTTGTCCACACTTGTACTCCTATTATAAAACTATATTTATGCCTAAATTATTAAATTAGTTAGTATTTAAATAAATTTTTTTTAAAATTTTATAACTAACGATTAGTTATCTCATCGTTAAATGTATCACTCAACTATTTTTTCACTCTTATTTTGATATTAAAGTTTAAAATTTTCAATTTAACTACTCAACTTTCAAATTGCTCCTATTTTAATCACTCTAATTTATTTTATTAATAATTTTTGTGACATGATATCTTTTATTATTATTTTATTAATATATAATTAAAAATAAAAATAAAAAATAGAGCGATTAAATTAGTAGTATTTTGAAAATTAAGTAATTAAATTAGAAAATTTTAAACTTTAGTGACCAAAATAGGAGTGAGAAGATAGTTAAGTGATGAATGAATAAATTTATCCATAAAAATGTGTCACGTGCAAAACACCGTTAAGTTTTTAATGGCGATGTACTAAAATGAAACAAAAACTAAACATTAAAATAATTTTAAAAAATAAAAGTTTAAATACTAAAATAAACTAAAACGAAATAGTTTAGATGTTAAACACTTAATTTACTCTATATTTAATTATTCAATTAATTTATATATGTTGCTAGCTACATCCCTTTTCTTTCAACTTAATTTTTTTTAATATTTTTGTTACGCATTCTTTTTTCTCTTTGATCTTTGTTTAGTTGGCGATGACACTAATCTTAATATTGATTGTTAACCGTCGGAAAATATTATTTCTCTTAACTTTTATATTATGTGTTTATTTTTTTATTGAGTCTTTTTAATTTTGAATAAGCATCTTTGTCCTTGTGAAATAATTTTTCTCTGCTTTTGTGACACACGATTCTTTTGCTCTTGTGACACGATCCTCATATTTTTCAGTATGTTTTTCGCATACATTTTCGGTCGTTTTGGTTCTTGCACAAAAACCATCAAGACATTTATTTTTTGATTGGTTTGTTGGTGGTCATGTATAGTCATATCTCCTCTTTTGGTAAAATGTTGTTTGCAGATGTAATCAAAATTGTGTAACGAAGCAACTTGTCAGATTATTTGGTTCTCTCTCCACTTCTTTATCACTTCGTCAAACGCCTCATTCGACAAAGACAAAGAGTTTGTATAAAGGTTATTGGGTTTTGATATTGGTTGTCATTCTTAATGGAAGGTTTTAATATACTTCATATTTATAGGTTTATTATTTACTTTTATTTAAATATTTTGGTGACTATTATCTTCAAATTTATCTCTTTATTATGATGTGTTATAATTTTGATTCATTCTGTTATTAATAAGATTCAGTTGTCATTGTACAAAAAAAATATTCAAATAATCTTATAATTTTATTTTGATCATCTAATTATATTTTTAAATCATAATTGATATTACGTTTTTATTCCATGATATAAGAATGTAACTTTACAAAAAACGCTCCGATACGTGAGGAAAAATAACTTGAGGAAACGAACATATACGCCCTGACCTAAATATTTCAGCAGCCCTTGAATCGAGAAATTATTTTATGGTTTCGGCTCACCATATCATTCATGATCCTAATGAATCACATTTATTATTTTAAAATAACTTTTAAATAAATAAGACCACGGATGACGTGATAAATCGAGTCAACCTAATAATTTTTTCTTTGAATCAGATGCTCCGAAATGAGTTTTTTCTTTTTATGGTAAATCATGGTATTTTTAAAGAAGGGATTATAACGAGTACAAGAGTGGCAAGCTTTCTTCTTTAAGTTGAAGATCTGGGGACACTGGATTGGCTTAGTAATGAAGCATCGACCAAAAAAGGCTCAGCCAATCCTCAAAACATTCACCTTTTCAAGTGCTTTTCTTGATTAAAAACGTAAAGCATCGACACAAGTAAAAAAGATTAAAGTAAAACAAGGAAAAAGAAAGGCAAATCCTTCTTTCTGTCACAATCTGATAATTTTCTTTGATATTTCCATGGAAGTCAGCAAATACGTCAATCTAAACAATATTTACAATCCCACATCGAAATTGTATCAATTATTGTAGGGGAATATTTCAGTGTCACGAAATATAAGATTATCGACGGGAATAGAATTAACGGTAGAAATAAGATTAGTAGGAATATTATATTGTGGTGTTTGATTCGTTTAACAATGATGTAAGATTACAGTGTTTGGTTAAAGGAATAAAATATTATTTGAATGTATATTTTATCAAATTGTCTTTATTATATATTTATTTTTTAACTAGTTAAATTTTACTATAATTTTATTATAATTAATATAAATATAAAATTTATATAATTTTTTTTACAAAATTAAAAATATAAATAGGTTTAATAAAATGATAAAATTTTATTTTAACCATTAAAATTTATATAAAATTATAATCATGAACTTTTTTTATAAATCCATAATAGTTTAAGGATAAATTTACAATTTAACATTCGTAGAATTTTTTATTCAACGACAGAAAATGATATTTTTAGAAAAAAAATTAAAGATATTCTAGTCTAAATATCGAGAATGTAACAATACCTAAGGAAATGAGGAATCACATTCCCAATAATATACCCCAAAATATCACTATTGAGAATAATTTATTACCGGGAGTTGAGAATGTTTGCAATCCAAACAGGGGAATAACATTTCATTCTCCCCGATAATGTGAGATACCCTGAACCAAACGCCCCTTAAACGAAAAGAACCTTTTTTGGCTACAGATTACTGGTTTTTATTACAGACACTCATGGAAAAGCTTTGTTTATACATAGCAAAGAGAAGTCACTGGATAATGGAGGTCTGGCATTGGTGGAAATGCTTTGACAGAGTTTGTCCATGCCAATTATAAAATATGATTAGGGGGGAAATTAAGGAGATAGGGGCCAATCAAATGCAGTTTCATCTAATTCGAAACCGTCGTAGAACCTCATTTCCACGTCTTCTATGCTTTCGTCGTCATCCCAATCCCCATCTGATATCTCATCGTCGTAATCAGAACCGACGTTTCCGGCGACAAAGTCCCAGGCCAAGTAGCCTGATGAGCCAGAATAATTTGAACAATCATCGCAGCCTTTCATCCCGAAATAATCGACAACAAGAGGTCCGACAACTTTCAGTCGGGAGAATTTCTTGATAAAATTCTCGTCTAGTTTCACATTCCAACACCCTCGGATATCTAATAATTCGAGCTGGGGGCAGTTTTCGAGTACCTTAAGCGCACCGTCCGTGCTAATAAGCAGGTATGCCACCTCAAGTTGCTTGAGCTTTGGCATCGTTGTAGCAATGGCAAAGGCCTCATCGTCTTGAGACACCTTGTCGATTACCTCTAATGGGTGCATTGTTCTTCTCAACCCTGTTAGTAATTTACAGTGCTTGCCGATTGCTTCAAGGGCTGGAGCTCCAATGTTCCTGCAGTAACTAACATCCAAGAAAGTTACTGAAGAAAGCCGCCCAGCAACCTGTTCCACTATCGAATTGCTTATTTCACTTCTTGGCAGCCGTAAAGTCTGAAGAGATTTGGCACTGCAAGCAAGGGGAAAACGAATATATAACGCCGGCAATCATCGAATTTACAACATCCAAAATGAAGTAGCTAAACAAAACAGAATTGGACCACTGTCCACTGATAGTATAATCCTATTCAGATTCTTTACCATTACGATCGATATTATATCCTAATCTATTAGTAATATACTCGAGATACAGAACTTCGATAAGCAGTTTCATCCAACTATGTATTAGTTTTCAGTCGAGTGTTAGTTGCCTAAGCTAATAAATGCCAGGATTTTCCCATTAAACCTAGTGTTTTCCAGTGCAGACGAGATGAAATTCATGCCAAAGCGATATAAATAAAAAAATGCGATCGATGGGTATGCCCTTACTTATCCACAATGAATGAAAAGCTCTGGTCATTAGCTAGACCAATAACACAAAGCTTTCGGAGTGAACCGGAGCTTCTAGTTATCAGCATTTGAACCATGCGATCAAGGGTTTCCGGCCGGCATTGGTGGCTCCATTGTTCAATGTCAACGTCCTGCCAGCAATACGGTCCGGTAACCACCCTCCGCCACGATTTGCACACCATCGGGACAACAGTAAGTATTTCCTGAAGTGAAAGATTCTTGAAAATCAGCCCTAAGGCATCCGGAATCAATCCGTCCCAGCATCGGAAATCGTCACTCGCTTCCATCAAATCCCTGTTTTCCCTTCCAGCTAAAACATAACTAAGCATGAAACCGCACGCAAGCAGTAAATAAATAACTAGAATAGAAGATAACATAAGCTAATTGGTAATCAGAAACTAATGAAAATGGGGCGTAAATAATT